TGTGAAGGGACAGCAGTTGACCTAATCCAAGTATTGTGCAAAAACGCATGATCGCACCGGCTCGCCGGTGCGTTTCAGCCTGGGTTTTTATTTATACACAGTTAAGTAGCTGCACGTCTGTGTTTCGTGTTCGAACAGATAAAGACATTTGCAAATAAGGGTGATTTCGCCAATCAATGAAGCTAGGAAGTTAAAACTTTACAAAGTTATTCATTTATGATGCGTGACCTAAATATTTGAAATTCAGGATACAGCATGCTTAGATCTCATGTACTCATGAGTGAATTCAGTTTGGAACGGCATTAGCAGCCAGTTAACATGGTAATCAAGCGGAACAGGAACTTTCATACACGAGACCTAAGCGTACAGGAACTATAAATCTTAAGCTTCAGAAGTCGCACATGGCCATGAAATATCCTCCTGAAATTTTTACTTATTTGCCTCCCCTAATTCTGAAGTTGGAAAATTCCCCATCTATTAAAGATAGATGTGTGTGAAAGCAGAATCTATAATTTTCAGTGTCACAGAGGGACACATAACATCCTCCTTAAATTTTAGTTTTCTGGCTCCCAAGTTAGTTATTTTCCATTCCGTAATTTCAAATGTTCATGAGTGAGACCTAGGCGCGCGTAAAAATCGAATTTAAAATCTTTGGGTTGCACACAGCTGTTGGACGTTATCCTAAAATTTTTTATTCCCCTCTCTCCTTTTCCCTAGTTTTTATGATCCTTAAAGCAGTATTAGAGCCAAAATTTTTGCGTCACAGCATGTGAGATGGCCTGAAGGCTGAATTTAAATTTGTGAGGTTGCACATGAGCAGGGAGCAGATTTCTAAAAATTTTAGCTTCCTAGTTTTACTGATTATTAATTGGAAAACCCGGGAAAATCGGACTCGAACCACACATACACATAGGAGCAGTGACAATATGCGCTTTGTTTTGCATAAAAGGCATAAAAAATAGCTAACCGTTATCCCGTCTGGCCACCCGGCCGCCGGGACCCGTATCCTTGTTTCTTGTCGTTTTGTTCGATTGTGTTCGCGGATTTCCAATGATTTCTCATATAAATTCGAGAAGCGCTCTAAAGACGCTTCCCCGAATTTGTCAGCCTGCTCAGCAACAATAAAATTTCGGCTAAACAACGTAATCGGCGATGTCTCCAGTTGCTCTTTGAAGACCTGAAACGCGATTAACGTCTCTGCAATTTGCATGGGATGCTGGCTTACATGATACGTTAAGAAATCAAACAAGTTTTCTTCCGCATGCTTCTTAAGTAAATCTCTGAAGAAAAACCGCAAAAATCGCCAGGGTATGGTGCTCCTGACAAACTTTACTCTCGATTTATTATAGTTGCTGAAGGATTCACTGAATAACGCTGCTGATCAGCGAGAAGCCGTTTTGACCGTCCACTCATGTGACGCTCGTAAACAATTTTCACCAGTTCATCGCCACGAATCTTGTCGAGTTTCTCGAACAGGGCAATAATAAATGTGATATAATTGAGCACATAGAGCACCATCACCCTAAATTCAGTTGTC